ACTTAAAGCAGACCACACCTACTCGCGAAGAATGTGCTCAAGTTTTAATATTGTTTGAAGAGGGTTGGAGTTACCGAAGAATTGGTGAACGATTTGACGTAACCCACACAACCGTTTCACGAGTTATACAAAGATATAGAGAGACTGGAAATCATGGTCGTAGGCCGGGACAAGGAAGAAACCGAGTAACTACTCGGATTCAGGATCGATTTTTAAGACTGTCAGCCTTAAGACAACGTTTTGTAACAGCTCGGACCCTTCAAACCCAGCTTCGGGATACTAATGGTTTAGAAGTTTGTACAGAAACTGTTCGTCAGCGACTAAGGGAACATAATTTGAGGCCTAGAATAGCTGCTCGAGGTCCAGTTCTAACTAGAGTTCATCGCAGAGCAAGGCTAAATTTTGCCAGAGAGCATCGTAACTGGTTAGAAGCTGAATGGCAACAGGTATTATTTACTGATGAGTCTCGATTTTGTCTGTATAACAATGATAGGCGTATGCGCGTATACCGACGCCCTAATGAACGGTATGCTCAGTGTAATTTCTCACATACAACATTATTTGGAGGAGGATCTCTGATGGTCTGTGGAGGCATTTCTTTGACTGGTCGCACAGAACTTGTAATCTTAAATGGAAGCCTTATAGGTGACAGGTACATATTGGAGATTTTAGACGAACATGTAGTTCCATTTGCACCATATATAGGGCAGGGATTTTTGTTGATGCAAGATAATGCCAGGCCTCATGTTGCTCGAGTTGTGAGAAATTATCTAGAGGAAGTTGGTATCGCTACCATGGCATGGCCAGCTCGGAGCCCGGATTTAAATCCGATAGAAAATCTCTGGGATACTCTTGGGAGGAGATTACAAGAGGAACGTAATCTGAACTCTCTGGAAGATATACGGCAGAGACTGATTCAAATATGGGAAGAATTGGACCAAAATGACATAAGGTCTCTTATTTTAAGTATGGGCCACCGTTGTCAAGAAGTTATTCGTGCCAGAGGCGGAAATACTCGCTACTGAAACTTATTTCGTTACATTTTGTTTCGTGTTTTCATTGTTAAATATTGATATTAATTTTTAATAAAATCATGTTATGTTATAAAATAATGTTTCTCAAATAATGACAAAGATAATGAAGTAAACAAGAAAAGAAATTGTTAAGAATAGATAAGGCTACATTGTGAGATCAATTCTAACTTGATAATGTAACTGTTGCACTCTACAGGGTGTTACAACTTTTATGAAAAAATCACGTTATAATTGATACACCCTGTATTAATAAAAAAGAGGGTTTTATACAAACACAGTTAGCACACCGACGTTGTGTAAGAGACCTTTCATTTAAAAAAAAAATCGTCCAAATCAGACAAGTCGTTTTGACAAATATTTACTTTAAACTTTTTGTTATTTTTTGATGGTGCGTTAATTTATTGGGGAAGTGTATTTTTAGGATGGTAATTGATCACATCCTTAGATAATATAATAGCAGATAGGCCACCACTGCATAAAGTTATACAATATTAATCTCGCTATCATATAATCAGTATCTCTCTTTCTAATGAAGGCTTTATCACTCGTTTTAGAATTATCAGCAGTAGCGTACCGTAAAACAATTTCGCTGGGTCATTTTAAATGCGAAAATGTTGACCAAATAGAATATAAAATAAAATGTTTTAAAAGTTAGGTAGGTGCATTTTTAATGAAGTGAAAACAAAATATGACTTTTTGTTATGAATATAATATTAATAACAATTACTTTTAACACCACAACACGAACAAATTTAAATTAAACACTGAAATAATTGTCTGAGAAAAGCTTTGTAAAACTGACAAATACAAACAAAGAGATAAAGGTATTAATCTATTTCTCTCTAATTAGAATTCTCGACCATATTATCATGGCGACACAAACATGGTTTACTGTCCTCTCTTTACTACTTACTTACTCTGAGATCACATCCAGCATGTCTCCATATTTGTAGATTGGCGTTACGACGGCGCATTTAAACGTGTCTGGACAATGACCTATTTTGAAAAGTCATATTTATGACATTAGCCAGTAGTTCAGCAATTTCAGAAGACATATTTTAAATCAGTTGCTCTAATAGTATCTATCTAATCTGGATTTGTTTTGTTTTTCAAGAATTTGATTAAAGCAATAATTTCTATTTTTTGAAAACAATTAATTAAAATTTGTTTTAAGGAATTTTTGTTGTCTGTTTGATATTTGTTTGTCTTTATTTACAAGAAATTTACCAACATTTGTAAAGTATTTGTTAAAGGAATCAGTAATTATTGCTCTGTCTTTATTTCATTTATCAACAAGTTCAAAAGCGTGTTTTTGGGACATACTATTACGAAAATTATGTTCAATAGCTCATTCGATTCGGAATAATGTCTAGATAAATGTGTAAAGAATAATTTTACAGTGCATAAAAAATTGTAAAAGTTATAAACAATTAAACACCTCAAAAACATGGTGTTTGGTTTTTCGCCTATAGTTTGTAAACTATAAATAGTTTTGGATTTTTCAAAAAAGATCCTTAAATAGGAGGAAATTTGCTATAAACAAGTTTCTACTCCCGGAACTGTACCTCCATTATTTATAATTTTAATTTAACGCTCAAAGTAGCCTTCCGCGCGCCATTTTTAGGTTGCGCGCACTGCGTCGAAACCGAGAACGTTACATAAAATAATTTTTTTAAGTTAATAAAATTTAATTCAAAAATTCAAAAAAATTACGGTGTATTCTAAACACTTAGAAGAATTCATTCCCGTTAGAATTTTTCATAAAAATTAATTTTCCAACAAAGTAGGTTATTGTTAATTAACAAAATTTTTAGAATTTCTCTCATCATTACAAATTGATAAAAATTTTAAATAATTACCGTAATTTTTTTTTGCTTCGTGGAACTCTTTTTATATACATATAAAACAAAATAGCTTCATAAAAGTTTAAAAAATGTTAATACTTTGTTTATAATAATTTTTTAAAGTTTACAAAAACAGAAAAGTCACAGTGGTGCTATAAAAATTTTTTTTTTTTGAATTTATTATAATATTACTGTTTTAATGTCGAGAAAAGACTGTCAATTATGATTTAAAAAAAAACACATTTCTTAACTAATAATTTAAACAATAGATATATTAAAAAAACGATTATAAACAATTAAAAGTTATTATTAAGAAAATTTTTTTTTTAAAAATCATAATTGGCAATTGTCTAGAAAATTTGAAAAAAATTGAAATACTCCATTTATTTATAAAAAATTTATGAACAAATGGAAGAAAATATATTTTTTTTTAATTAATAAATGTCTTTTCTCGACAGTAATATTATAATAAATTGAAAAAAAAATTTTTTATAGCACCACTGTGACTTTTCTGTTTTTGTATCTTTAAAAAATTATTATAATCAAAGTATTAACATTTTTTAAACTTTTATGAAGCTATTTTGTTTTATATGTATATAAAAAAAGCTCCACGAAGCAAAAAAAAATTACGGTAATTATTTAATATTTTTATCAATTTGTAATGATGAGAGAAATTCTAAAAATTTTGTTAATTAACAATAACCTACTTTGTTGGAAAATTAATTTTTATAAAAAATTCCAACGGGAATGAATTCTTCTAAGTATTTAAAATACACTGTAATTTTTTAAAATTTTTTTATTAACTTAAAAAAATTATTTTATGTAACGTACTCGGTTTCGACGCCGTGCGCGGAACCTAAAAATGACGCGCGGAAGGCTACTTTGAGCGTTAAATTAAAATTATAAATAATGGAGGTACAGTTCCGGGAGTCAAAACTTATTTATAGCAAATTGCCTCCTCTTTAAGGATCTTTTTTGAAAAATCCAAAAATATTTATAGTTTACAAACTATAGGCGAAAAACCAAACACCATGTTTTTGATGTGTTTAATTGTTTATAACTTTTGCAATTTTTTATGAACTGTAAAATTATTCTTTACACATTTATCTAGACATTATTCCGAATCGAATGAGCTATTGAACATAATTTTCGTAATAGTATGTCCCAGTTTTTTTTATTTGTTAGGTCATCAACTTTAGTGGCGTATGCCTTATTTAACATACATTTTCAAAATTTTATTACTCTTTCAATTATTGGTAATTTTTCAAAATAATATTTTTGTATATTTTATGAGAATCTAAATAAGGATAGGCTTTAATATCTACATGTATTTCGATAATATGCCCAAAAGTCTGGAAACGGCCAATTATCTCGTAAATTGCCGATCCTAATTGTACAAAATTTGGGATGAACCTATTTTGGGATACGGATATTAGAGATTTGATATATGCAATGTTGCCAGATTTGCCGTTTCTCTTATATTATTAGTCACTTTGGTTTTTCAAATTCATCACCCTGTATATTCAGTCATTATTGGAATCTCCTATTCAATACGAGTTCAACCATATGTAACACTTATGATTTTATGTAGTCTGGAAGGTCTTAAATAAATAAAATAATCATGGAGAAATGTGGTAGACGCATTCTACCATCGAATAGGGTACTGTCAACTCACAAATGGAGCACATTTCGAACACTTATGTTATGTTAAAAATGTTATAATCTTTCAATTATTACGTTTTAATTCAGTTGAAAATAGTTTGTAATAAAAAATTTATTGAGACAATTCGGCGTTGCCAGATTTATTTTATTTATTTAAGACCTTCCAGACTACATAAAATCATAAGTGTTTCATATGTTTGAACTCGTATTGAATAGGAGATTACAATAATGACTGAATATACAGGGTGATGAATTTGAAAAACCAAAGTGACTAATAATTTAAGAGAACCGGAAAATCTGGCAACATTGAAAATACCAAATCTGGAATTACCGTATCCCAAAATAGGTGTACCCCAAATTTTGTACAATTAGGACTAGCAAATTAACGAGATAATTGGCCATTTCCAGTCTTTTGGGCCACTCTGTATATGAAAAATATCAAGTATTATTTTTATTTTAGCCCCCTGTGCCTACCGAAAAATGGGAAGGAATTTACAACGCAACTCAAGACGGTCCACTGTGTCCGCAACCTTCATCTGATCCAGTTTCAGAAGATTGCCTAATGCTTAATGTCTATTCGCCTAAGGTATTTCAATTATTCTAAACAAAGTCCGTAAAAATTACAATATTAAATAAATTACAGCTTCCTAATGGAGGTGAAAATCCAAAATTGCCTGTCATCGTCTTCATCCACCCTGGTGGATTCCACAGTTTTGGTGGTACCAGTAATTGGGTTGGTCCGAATTACCTTGTGGACGAAGGAGTGGTACTAGTAACGTTTAATTATCGATTAGGAACTTTAGGTTAGACAAGTTCCAGTTTTGGGTATATATAAAATATTTAAAATAAAAATATTGTCTATTATGATAGATACATCTTTGTTTTCGTTTTAGGGTTCCTGAGTACTGGCGATAAGGAAGCACCTGGAAATAACGGAATGAAAGATCAAGTTGAAGCCCTGAAATGGGTTAAACAAAACATTGAATCTTTTGGAGGTGATCCAAATTCCGTAACACTTATGGGATACAGCGCTGGAGCTTGGTCTGTTATATTACACATGGTTTCTCCATTATCTCAAGGTAGGAAAGCATTTTCACTTCTAGGACAAACAGGAGAAGCGCTAATAGAATAATAAAAATAGTTTTAATTTGAAGTGTTGTCTGCTGGTTCAACGTTTCCCTCTTTTTAAATAATTACCTTTGATGTAACTAGTTTTGTAGAACTATAGTATTTTTAATACAAATCCCGATGCACGTTAGCAATGACGTCGGTCATTCGTCACAGTACTACCAATTAATTAAAATGTTCCTAACTAAGCTAATAATCCGAAAAAGTCACGTACAGTCACGAGCATTCATGAACGTAGTCATATTACTAAAAAGTCGAAAACTGTTATGGTGATTATTTTGATAATTTTAAGAATTATTTAAATTATTTAGTTTATACATGTCTAATTCTTGATAATATAAAATTTATAAAAACATTATTAAATGTTTAGTACTCAAAAAATAATACTTTACATTAAATAATTTTGACATTCTGTACGCCCATGAAGCTCGTATTTATAGAGAAGAAATGTCATTACAGCAATTGGTACACCTTGTTGCGGTGTTGCAACCCCTTTTTAATGTTGAGTTAATTATTGATTGTGCATTTTGTTTTCTGTAATTTAAAATCCTTTTGCCTGTATTTTTAAGCTTTGCCAGTTATACTTATAAAAAACTGTTTTTCAAAACAACCATAGAGTGAATAAGCTGATTATTTGTCGTTTAATTTTTATATACAAAATGCCTAAAAAACTAAATAGTCCTTGTAAGGAGTTGATAGCTTCTTTAATCCATTATTTTGAATGAGAGCGTGATAATGATGGACCACGTTTACCTTTAACTGCTGTAAGAGAGGTAAGTTACAAGTTATAAAATTTAATAGAAATATGAAATTATTTTCTTGTCTTTTTTAGTGTGTTGCAGCATCTCTAAATAAAAATATTTCTACTGTCAGTAGTATTTGGCAAGCAGTCAAGAATAATGAATGATTAAAATCGCTAATTAAAAAGCATTCATATAAACAAAGGATTATCTACTAATACAATAACACTGGATACAAGTGGAATCCGAAGTGGTATTTATAATATGTATGAAATAAGTAAATATAGGTAAAGACAAATCTATTTATTGAATCATAATTTATTTATATTACCTATAAAAGTTTTAATTTGTATACAGAAATATAAATACATACTTATTTGCAGGTCAACATATAACTTTGGAACCTTTAAGAGAAAAGTTGATTGAGAGACAAATGTTTAATGGCTATATTGCATCATTGTCAACTGTATTAAAAGAATGAAGGAAAAAAGATAACCAAGACGTGAACTGTAAATAGGTCAGTTTTTAAGAAATTATAGAATTACAACAGAAGCAGTTCGTTGTCATTGATGAAACATTTAATTGGAAAAATTTGATTACAGTGGTCAATAAACATCTACATGTTTTACACATTTTCAAGAGGTACAGTGAAACCCAAAAATGTCTTTTTTTTTTCAGAAATAAACTTTAAAACAATATCAAAAAATTAAAAATGAATTTACAAGATTTGATATAACGGTGTACCTAACATTAAATCATTGATATAATGTGTTGTTTCGATATTACAATTTAGAATATAGCGATATTGACACACGTTATACGAAATAGCAACTAAATAGAAATAAATAAAACATTCTTTTTTCAGGTGCAAACCGCCAAAGAAATATATGGTAGATAATTACCTAAGCAGAACAATATAGACAAAGTATTACGTAATCTTCCCTATTTAACCCCATTGAACTTATTTGTGACCTTTCTAAGCAATATTATAATAAACATATTGGCATAGAGGGAGTTTTTAATAGATTGGAAATTATTTTTATTATAATTAACCCTAATAGCGATATCGATGACTGCGATTCAAATACTTGCGATCTGGATTAGGAGAAATAAAAGAATTTTAATAGGAATAATGAAGATTAGTAGATGAATAATTGTTTTTTTATGAGAAAATAGTGTAATTAAAAAAAAACATTGTCAATTTTTAAAACAATAAACAGTTTGATATATTTCTTATATATCTGTATTTTTATTTAATTTATTTTAAAATATAAAAAAAAATATTTGACTGAGAATAGCATTTTTCAAATGTCTTTTGAAACTGGTAGATTGGAAAATCTTGATGTTTGAGTGATGAATCTATTGTTCATACATGTTTAGATAACTTTAGAGTTGAAAAGAAGTAGCGATATCCGTTTATTTTTGAAGCATTTCTGGCTATCTTGAATACTTGAGCTACAGAACCGTTACTGAAAGTGAGATTTACTAAAGCACCTACTTAAATATTTTAACAATTTCCTTCTTGTATTCAAATATTTTAGCAATTTCAAACTTTAATTCTTTAAGTATAGGTATCTACTGATATTATGAATCCTCCACATGCCTTTGTAGTTTTCATTTTTTCAATGACCTCTTTAATTTTATGGGGTGTTGTGGTTTATAACTTAAATGTAGTTCTGTTAAATAACTTTCTTGGTAAAATTAAATTAGTTTTATATATTTTCTGTGCTAATTCTAAACCAATTTTGATCCATCTGCAGTTTTACAGTTTTATTTTCCATGACTTGCATAATATGTTTAAAGCTTTTTTGTTCAGATGTTTATTATTCATAAAGGAATTCAATATTTTCCATTAGTTATATACATTTAAAACTAATTGTTCCTACTAGTAACATAACAAATACATAACCTTACAATTTAAAAAAATTCTAAATTCCTCAACTATTCTGACGATTAGGCAACACTGCAAGGCCGTGACGTCATAAATGATCTCTGACGTGCATCGGGATTTGTATTAAAAATACTATAAATAAGTTTCTCGAGAAGCGAAATTGATTTTTTAGAGTAATTTATTCAAATGTTGATATAGATTGCAATTATCTTTTGTTTACAACTTGTTTATGAATACATTTATAAAATCTCAGGATATATTTATTTTTGTTCAAAACTGCATTCTATTGATTCCTGCTGCTATGAAATTCGATAATGTAATGATTGTAAAAATCTCTTTTTTTTTTTAATATAACTGATGCCGTTTTTGTCGAATCTATAACCACGCCTACTCTGCATCAGTAATAATAATTATCATCGTCTTTATTTCCAATAATTTAAAATACATACAAAGAAATAATTCATATATAAGAACGAAGTTTATTTTTGGTTGTGCACAACAAAAATATTCTTCCATTTAACCCGCGAGTAAACCTACCTACATGTAACTATAATTTTAATATTTAAAAGTGATGTAGGTAAAGTGAAAATGCATTTTCTTCAGGAAGGCCAAATCAAATGATACAATAATTAGTACAGGCAGTGATTTTCTGGGTAGTGACTTTCTGGCCAATGATTTTATTTGCACGAACTATTTTTTAGTATATCTAATATTAATTCGTGGCATGTGTCTAGGCTTTTGTACAACGCCGTACTTAGTTTGTTTATTATTTATTTTTACAATTAAAAGCAACTTGTTTTTAACATTATCCAATGTTAAACATTTGGAACTTTAATACTAAAACAAATTTTTTTTAGGCTTGTTCCACAAGGCAGCAGCTTTAAGTGGTTCGCCTACAGGACCATGGCCCATTCCCAGTAATCAATTAGACGTTGCCAAAAAACAGGCTAAATTTGTAGGATGTCCTGACGATACAGCTGCTAACATTCTCAAGTGTTTGAGGACAAAATCTTTCCATGAACTAGGCGAATCTCTACCAAAATTCAAGGTAAAAACGTTTTAAAAACATGTATTTATTTATTTATTTATTTATTTATTTATTGAGTACCTATTTATTGTCTACGTGAGAGCCCAAAACCTTTTCTTTTCAATTGAACATGAAATAAATTAGTCTTAAGGTAAGTGTAGGGAATAACGCCACCCTAACGTTTAGATGTTTCTATTGTGGAAATAAATAAACTTACATTTTTCGAAAAAATGTATACAGACAAAGGGCGTATAAACATTTTACTGAAATAAACATAGTTTATTAAAATTTAATAATTTCGGTTGTACATTAAAAATTAAAAAAAAAAAATGCAAAGTGGCTTTATTGCTAAGCCAGGGTAAGCAATAACGCCCCATGCTGAAGATATTCAAACTAGAAAAACAAAATTTCAAGAACAATATGGACATATGTAGCCTTCCTCCTTATCATCCTTTGTCAGTCCTACGCATTCATCATGCAGGTAGCACCGACACGAAAAACAAAAATGCATATCAGCCACTCTTTCCTCCTTGCATGCTTTGCAATACCAACTCTCTGTATTTTTACTGGACATTTTTTTAATAATCTTTGATTTAAATTTGCCCTTGGATTTGTTCACAGAGCTGGTAGAACCTGTTTTAGCATTAGTGGCAGATGTAGTTCTCTGTGCATCAGGATGTTCAAAAAGATCTTTTTTTACAACTTGTGCTCTGCTGTTAAGAGCCGGTTTTCTATTCCTCGTAGATGTGCGTGTTGGTTCTGGCGTAGAAAGCATCTTGGAAAACGATGTATTGACAAAATTGTATTCTTCAGGAATAACATTTTCTTCATCGTCACTATCAGGTGATTCCCACTGTTCTGTGTCACTAGTATCGCTGGAGTCACTATCTTTAGGCTGGGTATGATGGAAGCGGCGCTTTTCAACTGACTGTTGTCTTCCTGAAGGACCTGGTTCTGGAGTTACTTCTCTATTTATTCTGTCAACTAACACTTGCCCTTGAGGACCTGCTATTTCAGGGACAACCACTTGGTGTTGTTCTGCTACCTTAGGGGGCTCATCAAGGTTTTGATTCTCAGTAACAGCACTTGGTGCGAAAGCTTCCTCAGGTATTTTATCGGAGTCGAAGGGGTATATACCACACGCAGCAAACCCTGATTTTATATTGTTTGGTGTCATAGACTTATCCCAAACAGTTGTAAAAATACTTCAAAAGCGCTGTTTTGTCAACGATCTATTGGAATGGTTAGCCCAGAATTTTAATACTTCATCCCAAAAATGTTCAAACGAACGAAAGACCGCTTTGTCCAACGGCTGTAGCTCGTGAGTGGCGTTACTTGGCAAGCAGTAAAGAGTTATTTCTAACTTATCAGCGCATGTTACTATTGTGTAATCTAAATGGGACTTCACACCATCAAATATTAACAAACAAGGACCAGGTAACTTAAAGCTTGCAAAATGACGAAGCCATATTTTAAATGCTTCGATTGTCATACTGCCCTTTGCAGTCATCAGAGCTGTACTTCCTGGCGGCAAATTATCAGTCCACTCTGCCTTCATTCTTTTGCCCTTAAACAGAATTACAGGGTGAATAGAAACTCCCATAGCATTGCCACATGCAACTACCGTTACGTTCTCTGCATGCTCTTTGGCTATAAGACCCGTTTTACTCCTTTTTTTGCGAGTACTCCTTGCTGATGATGCAATGTAAGAAGGCATCCCTTTTCATCCATATTATAGAGAAATTGGGGCTTTTCCATAATATCTAACTCTGTCATTATTTGTTTAAGTTTTTTAAAACGATCGCCGACAATAAATTTGTTTAATTTTTGAGCTCTGGCAGGATTCATATTTTGAGCTCTACGAATTCTGATTTCTGGATGCCTATTAAAAAACTGTTTTAACCAGTATCGGCCTACCATTTTCTTTTGTGCATTAAATGGATTTGTAATCTTGTTCAGTTCGCAAAAAGTATATACACAACGGCGCAAAACTTTACACGTCAATGGGTATCCTATTTCGGCCAAACGAAGTATTCTTTAAGACAGTTCTTCTTCATTGTCAAGAGAAAGAATAGTTTTTCGTCCCATTGCACGTTTGGTCGTAAATCCTTTTGTTATGTAATCTCGCAAAGTTCTACGTGGCATGTTAAATCTTATGCTAGCTGTTTTTACAGCCATGTCATTATTGATAATACCCAGCGCCATTTCCAAAATTTTTGAGCTCCACTTTGCTCTTACTCCTCGGTTTCTTTGTTTAGGCATCTTTAGTCTATCTGCAAAATAACAAAATTGCACTCTGAAAACGGTAGTTGACAATAACGCCACTGGCGTTACTGCTAACTATCACCTGTGGCGTTATTAATAACAGTTACAGATATGAATAAAAAATTGTGAACCAAATTAAAAAACAAAAACATTATAAAAGCGCAATTTCCCAAACAATAATCCTGATAGACGACACAATAACCTCTGTAATTAAAAAAATACTTGCACTCCTATTTGAGCACGTGCACCATACTTTCAAAATTCGTTTTCTTATAGTGACACACAATACGTCCTTACTAGACAAATCTCGCCTCATAAGTCATTACTGCCGATAAAAAAAGTTAGATGCACTGGCCGTTGGTTCTGCTTCTTGACTTACCACCCAACATCAGATCCCAGTGCCACCTGTTCGTTGCGTAAGAAAGTTGCCGAACTAATGGGGTATGGCGTTATTGCCAGAGTGGCGTTATTACCTGCACTTACCTTATTTAAAATATCATCCTTTCCACAATATTTTGCAACTTTCCTTCATAAACAGTTTTTTCGTTTGACCCAAATGAATATATTTTTCCGTCCAAATTTTGGTCGTGAGATCTCCTACTATAATTTATGAAAATTATTCAAAAATAAATTACAAATAATTCGACTATCTTTGATAATAATGATTTTTCAGGAATTTGGAAACGACCCCGTTTTGATATGGTCCCCTGTTATCGAACCGGATTTCGGACAACCTAGGTTTTTGACAGCTCACCCAATTCACTTGATTACCAGTGGTCAATTTAAAAAGGTACCGTTTATTATTGGACAAACCAAGGACGAATTTGGACAGTTCGCGTTCAGTAAGTTTTATACGAATTCCGGTTTAAAACATTACATTAAAAAAATATCGTATTATACTTGTCGTATATTTTGTTGTTTATTTCCAGACGTTGTCAACAATGAAACCCTAAGCAAAGAAATGAACGAAAATTTCGAAAAAGTCGCTCCAATCTCTTTTCTATATGAAAGAGACACAGATTTCTCCAAGACTGTCAGCAAGACTATCAAAACTTTCTACTTACAGGACAAAAACATAGACAAGTCTCAACTCACTCCTCTAGCACAGGTAAAAACTTCGTACTAATCTAAAAACAAAAATTACTCCATACAATCCATATAAAATAAACAGTCTTGCACCTCATGGTAAAAATGCGTTCTAAATTATCGACATTATTAATTTAACATTGGTAATTTGACGTGTGACTTACATGGTTTTCACAAGTTAATCTATTGAAAAGAACAAATTGTTTTGTAGGTGTATTCTGACTCTTTATCTGGATTTGGTATCAATAGAGCTGCAAAAATAATAGCTGATCATAGTGACCAATTGGTCTATTACTACAAATTTACATATCAAGGACGTTACAGTCACTTTTACACACCTGAAAGCAACAGCACTGTGCCATATGGTAAGTAAAATCATGACAAAGAATCTTTACAAATACCAATTAACATAAATATGCCAATATCCTTTATGCTAACTCATAAATAATAAAAAGTTGTGCTAACTTAATGTTAAGCTAGCACAATATTTAATTACAAAAAAACTATAAATGCACAAAAATCGTGAATAGCGCACAAAAATTGCACATAATTCGCACATAATTATAGATAAGGTTCTGATTGATTGTGCTAAGATCGTTGTGCTAACTTTATATACCTGTTTCGTGGCCTAGTTTATTAGAATACAAAAGAAGAAATTAAGAGTTTCAAATTATAATGAAAGAATGCTGTTTTTTAAAACAAAATCTGCTGACAAAAGCATAAATGAATATTCTCGAATTTACAAATATTATGAGTTACTTTTAAAACATTCGCTGGAGCGATATAATAAATAAAAAGCTAGACTCTCTGCTAGTATTATAAATATGCAACCAGACATACGTATATTATATTTCTTAAGTGGTGTTTAGAATGAGACGAAAGCGAACATTTTTGTAGCCGTGTTGCGTATAAAAATTCGGTATCTGCTACCGCCGAGTGCGACTGACGTCTCTTGATCTGCCGCCCAAATGCCTGAATTGAGGGCTGCACAAATTTTAGCCCTTCCTTGTTTACAGCCAACCAGCAAAGTCAGTGATTAGGTAAGGAGTAACGGAAAATAGATTGAACGCCAGGGGTAGTATTCTCGAGTCACGAATATAGATTCGCATGCGAGATTTATGATTTGTCTCACTTGGTTTTCGTTCAACAAAGTGAGACACATTGCAAAACACGTATGCGATTGTCGGTATTCGTGATTCGAGAATACTACCCCTGGGGTTGGATGCAAGATGACGATTAGAACAACAGAAATAAAAGGAGTCGTATAAAAGTTATACTTTTTTTATTACAGATGGTATTATACTCAGGAGCTATAGCTCTACAGCCCTTACAGTTGCCATGCCACTGTAATTTACATGTATGATGTAATAAATTCTTGTAAATAAAATAGTTTTCATAATTTTCCAACGATAGATTAACAAAAAAAGTGATAATTTAAAACAAAATGGGTTCTGTGAGTATTGATAGCTTGGAAAACTAACCTTTTAAATTTAAATATTGTTGAATTTATTTGTAACACAGTTTGTCTTAAACATGTCTCTATTTATAGAGGACAAATGACAGGCCGCGAAAATTAATTTGAATCGCGATTAAGAACGTTAATAGATTGGCATTAACAAAAGACTGTCATTTACCCAAGAGTCTCTTTCGCATCGTTTTATTATTTGATGACGATGATGATAGACGATGATAAAGATGGCAATATAGAGTTATGTTATATGTTTTTAGGTGTTGTACATCAAGACGATTCACTATATCTCTTCTACATTAAAAAACTATTCCCATTGTTTGCTGAAAGTTCGCCCCAAGAAGTTGAGATGGTAACGAAGTTAACGGCATTGTATGGAAACTTTGCAAAGACAGGGTAAGTTTTCTTTTATTTTCATTTATTTATAGCTAATAATTATTTGTGGTACTGACGTAAATCAATATTTTCGAGAAAAAAGCACAGAACTGAAATAAGGAGAATTAATTTGATGTCAATTCTCGCTCAAGAGGTTCCTCAGTTTGCGAAATAAGTATCTGTCAGATATGTCAATTGCCATTCTAGAAAGTGATTTGAAAATGAATGTGATTTGTTTTAATGCAAAAAACACTAAGTTAAGGAGGTTAGAACTTCCTAGAAACTTGCAGATTGTCAATTTTTACTTTACTTTTTTTAATAACCATGAAGTCTTCTGTTCCTTTTGATTGAATACAGTTCGTGGTGTCAGATTATCGAGTTTTTAAACATAGTAATGGATTTGGGTAGTAATTGGAGTTGTGTAAGTCCGCCATATTTGCAGATCTGCAGAGTTACAGACGTTCTATAATCTCACCCTAGATCTACAGGTAGTTCATGTTTACAAATACGTCTGGTATAGTCGGCGTTTCTGATAAAATGTAACCTAGAAAATTTGAGTAAAAAACGGAGTTACCTACTTATTTTTAAAATTAAATCTAAAAGTAGAGTTCTATTAAAAAAAAAAAACAGAACTATTTGACTGTGAACATCAATCAAAAAATTGGGTTCAATTGTGTATTTGACATTCATCTTCGATAAACAAATAATTACAAACAACAATGTGTTTGTAAATATTTGTCATCGATCCTAAAATGGTTTAATATCATTTATAATTAAGTACATTGTGAAAAGGTAGAAAAGAAAAAGGTTCTTTGAATCTCACAAAGATATATATTTGAATGCCACTGGTTTCGAAGTTTATAATTTCATCCTCTGGCACGTAATAATCTCTTATCCACTAGAGAATTAACTACAAATTACAATAGTTATAAAGGCGAAATACGAACTGAACATTTTTAAAATAATAAAATAATTTAAAATTAAACGTCACAAGATAAAACAATTATTTTAAAATGTGAGGGTTTATTGAGCCTGTTGGCTCAATAAACCCTCACATTATTTATTTCATTTTGTTTATTATTACGTACAAATTCAAACAATTCATTTTATAAACCTATATTATTATCGTTGTATGAAGAAATATAGTAGTGTAACCTTATGGACTTATCATTGGAGGACGATGGACATAGAATGTAGATGGCGATACTGTACTTATGTCCAAGTCAGGTCTTTAGGTCATGTCTGTGCTTGAGTATGAATTATAATTTAAAATCTTCTTTTTCATTTCTACTTGTCTTCGGTAATGTATTTTTATAGTTACAATTTACTATTTCAAATTATTACAAAAGCACAGAATACAGGGTATTTGAAGGTCACATAAAATGCGAAAATAATCGATATAATAAAATAAACCAGTTTTTGTTTCAAGATTGAATTAGTTGAGATTGGGTGGAATTTTACTATAATAGGGAACATTTTTTTTCTATATTGTGGTTGGATTTTGGATATATCGCTGATGGTTAATTAAACTTGAGTTGTACGCTGTTAATTTATATTCACTTTTATTTAATGGTATCATCAAATTAAGAATAGGACATGAACAACTGAATATTATTGTTCAAAATGAGACGAATAGACGAAAATAAAAATTGTTTGGATAAAATGTTCTGAAATACAGGATGTTAAGTTGAAAATTAAAAAAGTAATAATGGGTAAATATATAGGTAGTTATAATTTTATTCAATATAATTTTACTAAAATCGGCACTGACAAAATTTAACTAACAGATTTTTTTGCTGTTAGGTAAACTTATAACGTAATACCAAACACATTTAGTGAAATTATACTAAGTAATAAAAACATGTAAGCCACTAATTTTCAGTTTTCAACTTTTGACACCATTTGAAAACGAATCGAGTACCAATTTGTGGTAGGCACATTTAGGAGTATTATTTTCGAAAGGCAAAATTAAAAATTTTTTATTGTTTTTTTTTTGTACATGGAAATACTTTGCTGCATGTCTGCTGCATGTCCTACAATGATGAAGCTCTCAACGAAGGCGTCTTAAAAAATAAATTATAGAAAATGCGAATGTTACATATTTGATTAGATAATTAACAATGACATAAACTTTCATTGCTCAGGACGTTAAGTGCTCAACTTTGGGTTTCGTAAAGATCAGTTACTGACTACTACTATTTTTTTCTGAACTGTTATCAAAATACTACAAAATTTAGCAGAAAGATTGCATTAATTATATTTTTCATATTTTTTCCAAAATAAGAAAGAATGTTTTTATATGTAATTGAATCTGGGTTGGGAAATCCAAACTTGAATGCTTAACGACTTAAGTCTTGAAGGCACTTATATCAAGTTAATTATCTAATCAAATATGTGACGTGGCTTTTTAAAATACTATCATTGTGCGCTCCACTGCGTGTCCATCTTCTACAAGAGAAAAAAGGAGGAAACATTTGTAAAGTTGCCTTGTACAAATGTGTACCAAAAGAGGGCAACTGGCTCTCGTAAGCCTTTTTCGTTTAATCGTCTCATTATTTTAACACTAAGCGCCAGCATGGGAAATATATGTTAAAGTTAGTTTTAAGAACTTTTAACATTCAAATAAACAAAAACAATTTATAAATCTATTATTAAAATCCGTGTTGGAACAAAACATAAAATTGTTGAATTTGAAAGATAATATTCTAAAAATGGAAAGGATTTCAGTCGAGAGCCTATTGGACTGAATATTCAGTTTAAAATCGCTTTTCCGGCCTATAAATCTTTAATTGTTTCAAAACGAATAAAATAAAGTAGTTCTGTCTAAAACTAAAATAAATTTGCTATCTCGAAGTCCCCATCGATTATTTCCAAACTTTTCTTTAACGTCTTAGTTGTAAGTTTTATATTACATTTTCTTTAATTTGCTATTTCTGTGGAATCATTAATTTTCACTTGCATTATTGTTCTTCTAAAAAAGCGAAATGTGACTCACGTTTTGCTTGATTGGCTTTAATTTTTGAGATAGTCAACCAGTCAAAATTAAAAAAATTCAAAAAATAATATTTATTTAATCAGTTTTGTCTGAGCTAACTGAAAGGCTGTATTCTATAAACAATGAAAAAGAGTGATTGTTGTTTTGAACTACTTAAAACATTTTCACTCGAACGGCGTGCGTGATTCAATTTAAAAATACTTTCCAGAATAAAACCACGTGTTACAGTTTTGACTTCATTTATTACTAAACAGGCAAGTCATATACAAAAACGTTAATCCAAAATCTAAATTAAAAGTAATAACAAATAGCCTATCTACTAGGGTCGGTAACCAAACATATAAACAGAATGGGCGGATTTTGTTCATACTTAACATTATACTCGCGCACTGACACTTAACCTGAATTAAATATAACTGTAAATACAAATATTTTACAAACAAATATACTTTTCCAAACAGTGATAAATTATATAAAAAAAATGTTTTTTTATAAGATTTTCTTTTATGTTCAAAGTTAGGACTTTATAATTATTGTGTCGTTCATAGAATTCTGTACTAAATAAGAGCACTGATTTTGGAAATAAATTTTAACCATTTTGGCAAGTTGCTGAACCTTGTAACATTGCATAATGAAATATAAAGACTAACTGAATATGTCTGCCACAGATAGACCACTTGTAGGTCTATTGATTTCGTCTTGAGCTATTCCTAAAGAGTGGAGCTATTGAAAACTTCCTTTCAAGGTGATTTATTTCAACACTCAGAGCCAGCCGAGAGAACATTTTTTTCTTATATTCATGATCAACAGCCAAGATACATTTGAAAGTCGCTAATATATCCCTGTGACTATTTTTTTTTAATTTGTTTTCCAGTGTTGATTGATTTTTCCCTGATTAGTGTGATTTTCTTGTTCCTTAACTCAATATCTTGCAAACTGTTGATAGCTTTGATGAAATTCTGTAGCGAAGCTTGTTCAAATTTTGAAAACTATAAAAATATTCAGCTATTTTTATGGTTATAAACTTTTCCAACACTTAGTCCAATTAGAGGTACTTAGATTACATGCAACATTTTCAGAAGCTTATTCCTTTTTTGTTTTCTACTTGGAACTTTTCAATTTATTTAAAACATTGGACATTGTTATAAGTTGTTATTAGGTATTCTTTGTTATTGTTTATATATTTTGACATAACCGCACATAACCAAAATATTGACCAAAGTCCTTAACCACTTTTTATCACCTTAATCCAAAAATTTTATTCGTACGGTTTTGTCAACTGGAATAAATTTCATTATTATGTTTAATTTTTCATGTCTTTTATCATAAATTGTTATTTTTAAATAAATAAAGATGTTTTTAACTATAATAGGTAGGTGATAGAGGCCATGTGCCTGAACGAAAAGAAGACGTAGATGGCGTATCTGCATAGCATTAAAAATTGACTACTTCATTAAATCGTCACTAGATGCCGCTCGAGATTGCATCCAACACTTTTTACTGTTGCATTATCCTACTATATTATCTTCATACAACGTTATTATTAAGAAACATTTATTTTTTTCGCCAACGCCATCTATTAGCTGATGGTCAAAATATTTAAATTTGACAACCTCTAAACTGTTATCTTAAATATTAGAATGGTTAATTCGTCTATTTATACCTAGAGGGCGTTAATCAGTATATTTAATCTAAATAAAATTTAATTCCTGTAGAATTATAAACACTTGTCCAAGAACCCATTTTAGTGCTTGTAGGGTTTTAAAAAGTTTTTAAATTTGTTTGTCTTAATTGTTCGTCCGTTCGTGAAATATTTTAATAATTTTAATTAATAGTTTTAGACCTACTTTTGTTTATGTGTTTTGACATCAACTTTTTGTTGCAACTATTGTTTTTTATGTATTTTAAAAAATACTCGCATACTTGTTTTTACACCGACCCTGGGATAATTCTCTTAACTTAGTCTTAAATAGATGAGTAATTACGGGTGAGTTCTTGATATTTGACAACTTTCATATTAAAATGTTTAAACCCACTTTATTAGTTATGAGCTCATTCGTTTTTCCTCTCTATTTTAGACCTTACCTGATGATGAGGATCTGATCCTCGAAACCGGTCGTAATAAAAATACTCTTGTGAGATCCTAAGGACCACCCTCGTTTGATTTACCTTTTCTGATTAAATATATTAACTATTTAACTTTTTCTTCTTTTTTTTACCATTTTGTATAAAAATAATATTTTAATAATTTTACATTATTTTTTTATTTTTCAGAAATCCAATACCGACCACATCAGAAAAATTGGACAACGTGAAATGGGAACCGTTCACCACGGCAGATCAGAAATATCTCGAGATCGGCGACAAGCTGGTGATGCAGGAAAAACTATACGAAAAAAGGTTCCAGGAATGGGAAAAGCTCTACCCTTTAAGCATGTACCAAAAGAACAAACACAGCCACTGAACTGATTTTAATTTTTCCTAGAAACCGATTTACTTATTTTGAAATGTTCTTATAGATACGTACTCTCGAAGAGCATTATTGTGTATATATATTGATTTTTATTTGAATAAAATACACGAGAGCATTACTCGTATTTTTTCTTTTTTGCGTTGTTTATAACACAGCCAATAAGAGCTCGCTATCCTATCTATCTATTTGAATTAGGGCGTGGTTCAAAGCACACTTGTACTGAAGCTCTAGGCTTCTCACAGTTTCTATCCCATCAGATTGATTTTCTTGATAAATTCAAGCATATGTCTGATGGGCGCTTTCGCGATTTCTTCAGTTTCCGGATATTGTACCCCGAAGTTCCATTCCCGTTCCCATTCAAGGTTCCGACAGTGGCATAGTATGTGAATAGGAGTTTCATCCTCCTTTTTACACATTCTACATAGGGAGTCATCAGATATCCTTAAGAGATTTAGGTGTCTTCTAAGGCCGCAGTGTTCGCTTCTGCTAACGTTTAGCAGTTGATTTTGTCTGCTCGTGGATGGCTCCTCTATGAATCTTTTGAACTGTCTAAGTGGGTTCTGGTCCAATAAGAGTTTTTTCCGCTCCCTTCCTTCCTTTCTCGTTTCCTAACACTCCCTCATGTCCTGGTACCCATTCAAGGGTGGCCTTGTTATGTTCTGCCAGAGCCTGGAGGGACTGTTGGTAATCAAATATTGATTTAGATTGTACTTCTGCCCTTTTCAGTGCTTTAAGGGCTGCCTGACTGTCTGTCATGATAAATATCCTCTTATCTCTAAGAAAGTCATTTAGCATGCTGTTACTTTAGCCTGGAAGACCGTTGTCAGTGACCCTAGGTTGAGATTAATTGTCCTCCCTGAGTTCACATGGTAGATCCCAGCTCCTGTGCTGTTTTTCATTTTCGAACCGTCTGTATACCAGATTGATTCGTTTCCTGAAGTCGTGAATAATGGGCGTTCTATCCGATTGCATTCTTAGTACCAGAATTTGTTTTAATTTCTCTAATATCATTGTGTAATGGCCGTTTCTCGAAAGTACCCATCCAAATACCTTAGTAAACAGCCTGTATTATGCCGCCATAGCCTCCTTCTCCACCACAAGGTGTAGTGGAGGAAGACCTAGCAGTAGCTCCATTGCTGCTGTGGGCGTAGTTCTAAATGCCCTTGTTATTATTAAACAGGCTAGTCTTTGCACCTTGTCTAATTTTCTGTTAGCTGTTATGCTTTTAGTCTTGTGCCACCATATGACTGATAATAAGTTATAACAGGTACTACAACCATAGTGTAAAGCCAGTGCATCATACTTGGTTTAAGCCCCCATACGTTCCCTACCATCCGACTACAGGCCCATAGTATTCTTACAGCTTTTTCTGTTGTTTTTTCTATATAGCTGCAGAAGCTAAGAGTGATTCCAAGATATTTAATCTCTTCTGCTATTTTTAGATGTTGTCCCCACATATAAAGCTCCTTCATTCCTTGAAGGTTCCGTTTTCTTGTATGCAACAACAGAGGGTTTTGTCGGGTTTGTAGACAATCCCTCTTTTAGGCACCACCTTTAGACGATATTTAGTGCATGCTGCATCATTTTAGATACAACAGACCTAAATTTATTGGTATATCTTATATTTATTTAATAATAATATGCAGAACCAACTCTCCAAATTAGACCCATTATAACAAATTCATTCCTCAAATTTGGCATATCGACCTAAATTATTTTGTAAAATAAAAGTTTCGAACTTACTAGTTCCATACTTTATTTTATAAAATAATTTATGTGGAAATCATTTAAAATTTAATTTAGAACCATTACCTACTACAAAAAATTATAATTTGAATTTACCGCCATCTGTCAATTGTCATTTTAGTTCCTGCTCCAAACACAAGGTGGCGCTAATTTGGTTAAAGGTCTACCATTGGCGTTGGGTCTCTAGAAAATACGTGCTTTGTGCTGTATACCTTTTAAATGAACACAAGAGACGACAATTTATAGCCCCCTCCAAAGCAGGTCGCCGAACTACGCAGACCATAAAGGGATTATGCACTTGACTTTTATGGTCATAAACCAGATGGGCTTAATTTATTAGTTGTTGTAGCTGGATTTACAATAAATTATTTTTCTTATTACCGTCATTCTAATTAATTGCACTATAAAATGAAATAAAAAAAGTACTGACATAACTTAACAATTACAAATTACTAAATTTTACCTAAATAAGAACGGTTCCCCTTTTAAACATATATAATTAATAACAAAATGATACCTCTAATAAAACCATGCTATTGTAACTCTCTCCGGCCGTCTCCATATGATGGATGGAACACTATATTATACTATAGGGTGCGTGGAAAATACTGTTCTCGAAAACTCAGAAGGAAGAAAAATATATAATGATAAGTTGTCACCTGATAGGTAACAGGATAATCTACCTTTCGATATACTTGAGGAATATATCGAAAGGAGTCATCCTATAGGCATCAGTATCGCAAACCTATTATTGTGTTTACCAAAAACATAGGTAGTCACCTTATAGGTAACATAATAATCTTCCATTCGATATACTTGAGGAATAATTCGAAAGGATTCACGTTACAGGCAACAGTATCGCAAGCTTTTGCTTACTGAACTTGCGGAAGACAGGAAGACCTCTAATAAACTGCTGGCCACTCGAACTTACACATAGAGATTTTTAAATAAAATTTAAAGTTCAATATTTTCAACAGGAATGCATATTTTTGAACGCGGCTTCCAGATTTTAAGAGCTAGTTTTTTTCGGATTGAGCTACATGACGTATATTTTTCGTTTATTATATACGGGGTGATCAATGAAGTCATGCAAAAAATCAAAAAGTTTGTATGAGTGGAATTGCCGCAAAAAAATTTTTTGTCGGTGAAATATGGTTCGTTACTAAGGTAACATCAATATCTCTGGACGTTTTTGTCAGTTTTTGAATTAAGGCCCTTAAGTCTTCTACACACTACCATTGTATTTCTAAATACAATGACACTACTAAACATAAAATTTGAGTAGCAAAATTTTAAAAATGATATAACTCGACATTGGATTGACGGTTCTTGATTGCTGATTTGGAATCCTAATTTTACGTAAATTTTCTATGATATAAGCATTTCATTTGAGAGTTGAAATTTACACATTATACCGGGTCGATAATAGACAAAACTGTAACGTACGACGCGCTCTAAGGTTTGGCATTATTTAAGTTTTTGTAAAAATAAATTCTCACATCAAGTTGTTTTTTTTTAATGTCCTTCTCACTGTTCTATCTAAAATTCTCACTCCAGTTTGTTGTCTCAAAGAGTCATTTAGTTTTACAGTGTTCTTTGTCCACCCCATGCCCATATTTATGATCGGCTGTAATTTCTACGCAACGCGTCAATTTCAAAGTAGGCATTGGAAAAACAAATTTGTTGCTATGGAATTAAAAACTATTAACATTATTTTAGAAATATTTTGACACATTTCAATGTTATAATTTTGTAAATTTTAATTAATATGAGGCGTTTAACCACGGCAGAAAGGGAAAATTGCATTCAACTGCTCAACGAAGAAATGTCACAAAAGCAAATTGCTCGCATTTACAATGTCAGTCGAAAGACAATTATAATTTGAACCGTCGCATCGAAACTACTGGTGATCATAATTATGGGCATGGGGATGGACATACAAAAAAATAAACCAAAGAACCGAAAGAATTTTAATGAGAGAAACTATGCAGAATAGAACAAAGAACTCTAGAAAACTAAATGACTCTTCAAGGCAACAAACTGGGGTGAGAGTTTCGGACAGAACAGTGAGAAGAACATTAAATAAAAACAACATAATGCCAAACATTTTAAATTAAAGAGCCCGTCGCAGAGCAAAATGTGTGCGGTTATTACAACACCATAGAGCGAATAGGCGGGCATGGACAAATCGGCATGCGAATTGGGGTAATGCAGAGTGGAACCATTGTTTATTTACTGACGAAACAAGATTTAATTTGATTCACTCCGATGGCCGAATGCTAGTTTGAAAAATATGGTACCTTAAGAGGTATCTGGTGGCGGAGGTGTTACAGTATGGGGAGGTATCATAAGAAATGGTAAAACCAAGCTATTCATTACCAACCAAACCGTTAACGCTACTGTTTATCAGGAGGAAATTTTGGAACCTCTTGTTGTTCCTTTTGCTCGTTACGGCTCAGAATTTCTATTGGTGGATGACAATGCTCGACCTCACAGAGCGCGAAGGATCACAGAGTTTTTTGCAGGCACAGAACATCAATGGGATGGACTGGCCTGCAAAGTCTCCAGATCTTAATGTCATCGAACACGTTTGGTCTTATTTAAAACTTAAAGTAAGATCGCGTGATGTACTCACTGAAACCTTAGAAATGCTTAGTGAGATCATTCGTGAAGAATGGGAGAATATTCCACAAGATTTTATCAATAATCTTGTGGATACACTACCAAATCGATGTCGGGAAGTAATACGTCGAGCAGGAGGACCAACAAAATATAAGTTTCTATTTTTTTTAATTAATGTACCTACTTAATTTCGGGTAAATTATTATTAAAGATTAGGTATTTAAAGATAGGACATTTGGCATTTTTCCAATAATATTTGCCGGTTGCTTTCAGCGACTTCGTCCTTTTAACACGCTGTTGCCAACAATAACCCAATTTCATTGTAAACTCCGAAAATGCAAGTTGCAATTCCCATCTTTGAGGCAGTGGGTTCAAAACAAAAGTTAATGGACAGACAATTTATGTTTTTTAGGATTATTTTTTTTTTATTTGTTAAAAATCACCAATACCAATACCCACTAGGTATCCCTATCCATACATACCTAATCTTTGTTATTACAGTACACCGTGTTTTTTAGAGATTGCAGGAACCTTTAAATTAGGTTTAGAATTAGAAATGTTGTAAGAATTGACTTTTAGCCGTTGTCAAGCAATCTTGTATATTGTAGAATATAATGTAATAAACTTGTTCTTGTCGCTACGTTTTTGTCTATTATCGACCAGGTGTAATGTGTAAATTTTAATCCTCAAATAAAATGTTTAGACCATAGAAAATCTACGTGAAATAAGGATTCCAAATCCGTAAAAACCATCAAGA